CTCTCCCTCCCTCCCTCCTTCCTCCCTCTCTCTAAAGCCCCAATAACCAACACAACATTTTCACCAAACAAAACAGACAAAGCCTTACAAAGTCGAGATAACAGAGCCTGATGAACGTGTTCCTGAAGTCGTTGGCCTGGTTCTCGATCATGTCGACGCGGATCCTCTCCTTCTCGTCGCCGCGCAGAGGTCGTGTGCGGGCGAGGTGGCGCATGATGGCGTTGGCGTGCGTGATGCGGACGTCGCCGTCGATGTAGTACGGGAGCTGCGGAGGGGTAAGGGGGAGGAGGAAGGGGGGAGTTCTTTATCTCTAGTTCCTGTTTTTTGTTTGTTTGTTTTCTTGGTTTGACGTGTGCTGTTTTTATGGTCTGATTAGGATCGATTCTTATTCTATTTCATTTCATGGGTATTATTCTATTATTCTTTTAGGTTTTAGACGATTGTGGAAAAAAAATATGCTCTTTCCTTATTCCGTATACATATACATATATGCTTTAATATATGTTATATATAGATGTAGATATAGATATATATATGTGTGTGTGTGTGTGTGTGTGTGTGCATACACACGACATATGTGTATATATAAACACACACACACACCCATATATATATATATATATATATATATATATATATATATATATATATATATATATCCATATTCATATCTCTGTGTACAAATATACTTATATGCATAAATAAGTATACACATACATAAACACACACGCACATATAGATAGAATAGTATGATTTTATTTTAGGTCATTTCTCATTTCCTTCTTTGAGGAAACTGGTTATAGGCCTCAAGTTGGCGGAATTCTATCTAAAAACGGTTTTAGAAAAAGTTAAATTACGAATGCCGTGGTTGCGGTTGACCCTTTCTAGAGTGCCAAGTATGCCTGAAGAGAGTGCCTCCATCCGGGACTTCAGAGAGAAGGTCGAGAATATGGACTTTCTCACGGCTCTTCAGAAGGAAGGGCTAGATCAGTAGCAACTCGAGGAGGTGTCATGGCGTCTGTTTGATGAGTGTTCAATGAAAATATAACCATTAAAATCATTATTTTCCATCCTTTTTGAAAATTGAAGAGACCAAAATGATCGACCATATTCACAAAGCATCCGTAACTCTTGTGACGTCATCAAAATAAACCCCATGTGTTTTTTTTTTTCGAAAAATAGAATCAGACGCCATGACACCTCCTCGAGTTGCTACTGATCTAGCCTTTCCCGTAAGAAATGGACAGATTTTGACACCAAACTCCAAATGATGAAGCAGGCATAACTGGCATAATTTCAGCGTTATTATATTTTTTCAAGTTAGATATATAATGAGTGATATAAAGGATGTATTTCCTAAATAACAGAAATTGTTTGAATGTTTTTATAAACTCAGATATTCAGTTTGAGGTGTTTTTTTCCTTAAGAAACGAACTATTATCTTTGGAAAAAAATCTTGGAGGCGGTTTGATAAACATTTATTAGATAGAATATCAAGAACTTGAGGATTAAAAATAATTTCGCTAAAAATCCAAGTACTTGAGAAATTGCATAAATAAGATTATGATATATATATATATATATATATATATATATATATATATAATATATATATATATATATTATGTACGTATGTATGTATGTTATATATAATATATACATAAATAACGTACATACATTTATATATATATACGTGTGTATGTGTGTGTGTGATATATGTGTGTGTTTATGTATATATACACATACATAAATAAAAAAACAAGCACACAGAGACTACCGAAAGCAAAGGAGC